AAAGTTGTATGAAATTTTTTTGATAGTTTTGGAATGTCTTTCCTCAACATAAACCAGATGCTGAAATGACCCTGATGATGACACTATCCCAAATTTGCATAATGGTGATAGATTCATAGCTTTGTAAACATACTACAGATATTTAAATTTTTTAAAGTGAACCGGCGACTGTAAGGTACCTACAAAATATCTCATAAAATCTGTTTCAAAGATTATAAGAAAATAAAGTTTTGAGAGAAGAGAAATTTATACTATCTGAAATGGTAGGTAGTGAACTGAAACATGTAATGATATTTCTTCTGGTTCATTTTAGTTTTCCTGTGTGTTCTGTCATACATTTTAAAAAAATGCATTCTTACAATTATCTATTATTTTATATCACCGGAGGGGAAAACCATTGCACTAGTTGGCTACGCATGAAAAATGGAGTTGAAATGCAAGTGGGGAATACCTGAGTGGTTGAAAACAAAAGTAGATTTAACATGGGTTATATTATGGTCCTGTGCAAAGCAGCCTCTTAAACATGGGAAGAAACTCATATGCACCCTTGACAGAAGAACCTCTGTATAAATACTGTCAATTAGAAGTGTGATACTTACGAAGGGTCATTAATGACTGTCCTCAGTGCATTGAGCAAGTCTGCACTAGACATTGTGTCGATGTCCAGTCGGACAGCTGCTCCCTTGGTCTTCATGCGAACGATGTTATCAGGTTGATCCGCAAACAAAGGGATGCCCACCATAGGGATCCCGTGGTAGATGGCCTCATAGACGCCGTTGGCTCCACCGTGAGTTATAAAGGCTTTGGTTTTTGGATGACCTAGGATTGGGTGAATTTAAGCAAGTTATGAATTGTAAATCTTGGAATATAGTGAGCGTTTGGCAATGAAGGCCCTGACAGAGACAGTGAGCATATTTAATAACAGATTAGTATGCACTTGAGACTGTATTAAAACGTCTTTCAGACTCAAAGGAAGCGGCGCATAGGTCTTCTGGGGAGAGAGGGAAGGCTTACAACCGAAGATTGGTATGTTTCTTAACCCTTGAACACGGATAGAAGTTGCCAGTGGACGAAATGAAAGGGAATATGCTGGATAAAATTTTAAAAAGCACATGCAGAAACAGTGGTGAGACAAGTTAGAATATATTCTTTTAATCAAATGGTGAAGTCAGCGAGTCTGATATTTAGGGTGTGGAGGCAGCAGGCCATGTGATGACGTTGGCAGAGCATCAGTGGAAAGAAAAGCTACACAGTCTAAAGAACCATTATTACTTCAGAAAGAGATTTTGAATTTTATCCCCAGGGAAAGTGGAGAGTCACTGGTAACAAAAGATGAGCTGGTGTTTTTCAAGGGCACTTAAACACCCTTCAGTGGGTTAAAGGATTGGGGTAAGGAGAGAAGTAGGAGACAGAGTGATATCCCAGAAAGTGTTGAGATACTCCCTGTGAGAGGCGATTACACAGGAAATGAAGATACTTTGTGGCCATAAGGAACGTGACTGTGTAGGATAAGATGCCAACCGTTAGATCTTATTCTTTTCCCCTAGGACTGGGAAATACATATAGGGAAGTTAATTCTTAGTTTTGAGGTTTTGATAAGTGATACACAATAAATTTCTGTGCTAGTGAGCTGTCCATCAGCTGGTTGAGTTGACGCTGATTGCAGTGTTTTCTAGAGTCTTACCAAGAAGGTCATTCTGGGGGATCCACTTATAAAGGCGAGTGTTTGGCCCTAACGTATCTGGTTTTTTGCCTTCATATCTCCATATAACCTGTTAAGGTAAAGAAAGTAACACGTTCCATGAGTCAAATTTCAACATTATCGCGTGTGAAATCCTAAATAGATTCAGAGACATCTAGTTGAACCCCTTCCATGTTACAGATGAGGAAATGAGGGCAGACATGTTAGGTAAGGAGGACCAGAAAAGCACTGATGTAAGAGGAGTAGATTCTCATATTACGTGTACTTACTTTTCTATTCAGTCAGGTATGAATGCATTCATGATGCTAGAGGTTAGACAAATGAGATTATCGGTGACCCATTCCAGCAAATTGCTGATAATCTCTACTCTTTCTTTAACTGTTTATTACACCAGCTCTCATCCTCCAGATTTAATGTTACCCCGTTTATTTCTTTTTGAATGTTCGGGACATGGTTACTCATTTGCACTAGTTTCATGAGTTATTTTATTAGAGTTTTAGCTGATTTGAATTACAAAATCAATGTTATCAGCTACTGGTGAAAATTAAATTACTCGGATATTCAATACTTTATTATTAATAATAGATAATGTCTGCTCTAGGAGTATGTTCAGCTCCTATAGACGACCATTTATGAGTCTTTACCTCTTCTAAGAGAAATTTCAAGTAGCAATTCTTACATGAATGTAGTATTATCATTCTAGTGAGTCTGGCAATTCTCTTAACATGTAGAAGAGTGTTTGAGAAGCCCATTGCCACTTCAAATATGAGGATGACTGTAAGTTTTACGCAACTGCCTGTGAACACCTGTCAGTGTGCTACAAGGCACCGACGATTATGGTTAATTAATTATAGACGACCAAGCAACTTCCAAGTCCAGTACCAAAGTTATATTTTTTTGACATTTCTTCTAAAGCCTCACAAGCTGGATGCTGGTTTATAGCTGGTTAACATTTGTTTGTTAAGCGAGCCTTCAAGAGACTTCTGTTCTCAGCAAATTAACATGAGTGATAGGGAGAAAGCTACATCATTTAGGAAACCAATAATGTAGCATAATAAACCAAGTACTTCACAAATACCCAGAGAATTCAAGTGCCTTTCATATATACGAAGAACTTACTGCTGGGTTTTTTGGAGAAGGGGGAGCGTGTGAACTTGGTCCATGCTAGGCTTGCTACTGGTTGACTCTTTTGAATTTTCCCTTCTGCTTCTTCAGTCAGGAGGTTATTATTCTGATGAGTTGTTTCTGGACCACATTTTATAAAGTCAGGGCCACCTTGAGAGCTGGACCAGTCTCCACCCTTGGCTTCATGTCTCCTGCTTTAAAATTTAGCCAGGCCCAACTCACCAGGCAAGTCTTCTCTCTCTCTCTCTCTCTCTCTTTTTTTAAGGCAGTTCTTTTCTCATTCTTTCCCTTACTATTGTTGGCTTGGGTATCTGGATGCAGCTTGATGAGCCCCGAACATCCTCCCTCTGAATATCACCTGGAAAAACTCATTAAACCGGCTTCTTCCGAAATTCAGGGCAAGTAAGCGAGGCCTCGATTACCTGGCATCTAAATTGAACGATGCCTCTCAGACCATTATGATTCCCTGGTTTACGTTCCTGTGACCATGTAAGTGCTTTCTGAGAACACCTGTAGTGTGTACAGTTCCCTAGATTTCCTGCAAGAAAATGGAGCAACTGACAGGATAGAATTTGGCAATATCCGGACCAGCGTACAGTACTATATTAATACCAAATCTCACACTGTCCCTCTGAAATATACTTCTCTGTGATCACGGAGTTAATGTCAAAGTTATTTCTAATCAAAAACACCCTCTGCATCACTTCAGCACCTGCCGCTTGTATTTTGTTTTTAAATTGAGATCGCAGATAAATTGGAGCTCTCCTAAGAGGTTACCTTTAATGTAGAAATGTCTCTAATGAGACCCTTTACCAAGTTTAACACACTCACTGTTTTTCTACTCTCAGGTACTTTATCAAACCTTTTGAGGAATCTGGGCAAGGGCCGATGCAATCGTATTGGCAGTTTCTTCTGTCAGGTTAGTGACCATTGACCCCAGCGTAAACACCACAATACCGTCTTCTCCAGAGCTCTGGGCAAACTGTTCCATTTCCTGAGAAGAAAGAATTTGTCCCATCATGATGGAGCAAGAACAGAGTGAACACTATTGAATGGATTGCTACAAATAACTAAAGAGAAAACATTAATTATTATAAGGAGTTATAAGGATAGTGCCTATTTTTTAAGTTTGTGATAAGATACATGTAACAGAAAGTTGCCATTTACTTATTTCTATGTGTGCATTTCAGTGTGTGTATATATATTTTTTGTTGCTTAACGCATGGTCTGAACTTTCTCATCTTGCACATTGGAACTGTATTTCTTATACTGTATCTCCATCCTCCTCCCATTTCGCCCGTCCCCGACTAAGGTCATCCTGTTTTCTGTTTCTATGAATTTGACTGGGCTGGACACCTTACATAAGTGTAATACAGTATTTGTCTTTTTGTGAGTGGTCTATTTCACTTAGCAAAATGTCCCTAAGATTCAGCTATGTTACAGCATTTGTTTGAATTTCCTTCAATTCTGAGGCCGAGTGATGTTCCTTTACAGATACCCCGATCACCAGAAAGATGAACAAGTGGGTCTTAGAGCAAAGTAATCCTGAAAGATCTCTGGAGGCTAAAATCACAAAACCAGGACTTTCACTTTTCGGGCACATCATGAGAAAGCAGGGTTCTTGGGAAAAGAGAATAATGCTGGGGAAAACAGGAGGCAGCAGGAAAGAGGAAGACCAAATGTGAGATGGACGACTCCATCAATGAAGCCGCAAGCATGAGTTTACAGGAGCTGAGAGGGCTGTTAGGCCGGGATGTTGTGGACGGGACTCAGTCATGAGGTCATCAGGAGTCAGACCTGACTCAAGCGTGCGTAACCCACAGTACTCCGTTGCATGCGGATACCATATTTTGTTCATTGATTGATCCGTCAGTGGACTTTTGTGTTGTATTCATCTGTTAATTCTTGTGAACGGTGTTGCGATGAGTTTCGGTGGGGAAATATCTAATCAGGAATCTCTTGTCTTTGTTGTGAATATACACCCAGAAGTGCAATTACTGGACCAAGCAGTAATTGTTTTTAAGTTTTTGAGGCACTTCCATTTTTTTTTTCCTATCACAGGTTGTTTTTAACAGATGTAATCCCTCAGTCCCTTTGGAGTATGCAATCGATGAGCGTGAATGCCTTTCTTTCATATATTTGTGTGTGTGGGAGGGGCAGTACTGGCTCGACCACAAGAGAGTGCCAGCTGCACGCACGACCGCCTCCCCGTAGCCATGCCTGCTCAACCCCAGACTGGAGCCTCTGAGGGTGATTCACTGTGACTGTCCCAGCTCTGAGTGGAGCTGCCTTCCCTGCATGGAACTGAGCCCAGCAGGAGGGGGCAGATGGTATTTACAAAAGCATGTGTAGTTAGTCTTCCATTGGGGGTGGTGCTGGTCTATGGGAGGGGAGCCAGGTGCATGCCTTCCCCTTGCTCCGAAGTCCCTTCTGCAGACCCCAACGGAGCTACACCTTGACGCTCCTGGCTCCAAGCTCCAGCCCCTGAACCCTTCCCTTCTTGTAACTGAACGCAGCCGGATGGGGCCAGGGAGCCTTGGAGGAACACATGGAGGCAGCTGTGTGCTGGGGGTGCTGCCAGCCCTCGGGAAGGGCTGAGAAGCTCGCCTCGCTCTCTCCCCCTCTGCAGCTGCACTGCCAGAGACCCCTACGGGAGGTCCCGAGGGCGTTGTGCCACATCTCCCAGCTCTGAGTTGTGCCCTCATACCCCCGCGGAGCTGTGCTCAGCAGGGTGGGACCCGTGGGATTGGGAGGTGCAGAACAAGGCAGCCCTTCACGGGGGTGACACCGGTTCATGGGAGGGGAGCAAGCTGCTCGTCTGGCCTTAGCTCCAGAGCCATGCTGCCAAGAGACCCCGACCAGGGCGTCTTCTGCTGAGAGGGACACCTGCTAAGCTGCGGGAGGGGGAAAAGCTGGCCCTGGTCCAAAGCCACACAGTTCATTCACCATCTGAGAGTCTGCCTATCATTTCTCCAGGAAAAGAGCACAGGCCCCGTCCCTGTGGGTGCAGCCAATGGGCCTCTCTGCTGGACTCCAGCGTGGAGGGTGTTATTATTGGTATTTTAAGGACTAGGTTCGTACATACCCTGCTCCTGCCCCCCGTTTGTGTTGGAAGAACAGGAGAGCTTGACCCTCGAAGATGGCTCCCGAGGGCATGTGGCACGTTCACTTAGGACTGGAACCTCAGTAGCTGACCCTCCAGGTCTGGTTCTGGGGCCACACTTCCTAGATCTTCTATTTATGGCTTCCATGTGCCTTGAGTGGCCTCACATCTACCAGAACCCTGGATAAGTGCCCAAGGGTGAGCTCCTGTGTGCTGGCCCTTTAGGAGAGCACCCGGGATGCTAATAGACTCCCTTCTCCCTCTGGCAGACTGAGCCCCAGCTGACTTTCACTGCCTAATACTATGCAGGCTTTTCTTCCTGGCCATGGTTCACTGGTTTGGGGGTCTGACATGAGGTTGAGACCCTGCATGTCTCAGGAGGGACTTCTGCAGCCACCGATCCATCCTCCCAGCCTCTCAGCTACCCGACCTGGGTGCAGGGGCCATCCCTCTTTGCATCTCTGCCCTTATTACCAGCCTCTGCGCACCTTCTCCTATAAGCGCTTAGAAAGAACACTGCCGTTCAGTTGTCTTCCAGTGGGCCATTCAGGTTGTCTGCTCTATACTTTAGCTGCAAATCCTATTTCACATAGGGAGGAGATGTGTGTACATTTCACCTACTCTACAGCCAACTTGGAACCCCACCCTATGTATTTGTATTAGAGAATTTAGTCCATTAACATTGAAAGCAGTTAGTGATAGGTGTACTTTTTTGCCACTTGGGTAATTGCTTTTTTGATAGCTTTCGTAGTTCTTTTCTGTTTCTCTCTTCCTTTACTGAAAATCCCTTTGGTTTACTGGTTTGATTTAGGCTTTTCTGTGTGTTTTGGAGGATGCTCTTTTTCTTTGTTTTGGGGGAGGGGTTTATGTTTTATAGATTAATGGTTTGTTGTTACCATGGGGTTGAGATATATTGATCTATATCTCTGGCAGTCTATTTTAAATTGATATGCATTTTGTAATGTTCAAAACATTACAAAAGAGCTATGTTTTACTGCCCCCTCCATGTTTTGTTTCTGACATCATATCTAACATTTTTTTATTATTGTGATCTCCTTTACACTTATTGTTAATCTGCTACTATAGTGTTTGAGGCTTTATAGTAGGCTTTTAAGTCACTGATTCATTGTGTTTATCATATACTGGGGTTTACTAGTGAGATTTCATTCTTATTTCTGATTATAGCCTTTTTAATTTCTATTTTAGAAAAGTCCTTTTAATATTTCCTGTAAAGTTGGTATATTGGTGATGAACTGTAATTTTTGCTTGTCTGGAAAATGTTTTCTATCTCCTTCAATGTTAAATGAGATGCATGCCTGGCAGAGTCTTCTAGTTGTAGTTTCCATTATTTTAGCACTTTTAATACATTCTGCTGCCACAACCGTCTCTCATGTAATTTTTCTCAGAAAGCAGCTGATAGTTTTATGATGTTTCTCTTGTATGTGACTACTTGTTTTTTACTTGCTGCCTTCAAGATCCTGTCTTTATCATTAGCTTTTGTCATTTTAATTATAACCATTATAAAATATATTCGTGGGAATATATTGTGTTCATCTCGTTTTAGACTCTGAACTTCCGGGACGTGGATGTCTGGTTTCTTCCTCAGGTTAGGAAATCTTTTAGCCATTTTTTCAAATAGTGCTTCTGCCCCTTTCTCACTCTATTGTCCTTCTGGGTGCCTATAATGGGAATGATTACATTCTTGATGTTGTTCCAGAAGTTTTACATTCTTCATCTTTTTTCTGTTTGTTTGTTTTTTGTTTTGTTTTCTTTTGTTTTGTTCTTACATTCCTTTTTTCTTTTTGCTCTTCTGATTTGGAAGATGGATTTTCACTATTCTGTCTTCCAAGTCACTGGCTTAATCTTCATTAGTATATGATCAGTTGTTGATTCCTCCAGCACATTTTCTTTTTCATTTTAGTTACTGTATTCTTCAGATGGGTTCTTTCTTGTGTTGTATAACTCTTTGTTAATGCTCTCACTGTGTTCTTCTAGTCTTCATTCATGTTTTATGAGCATCCTCATGACCATTACTTTGAATACTTTATGAGTCAAATTACTCATCCTTGTTTTCAGGGGGTTTATTCCTGAGGTGTTTATTCATCATTTGAGCTGGAACATATTTCTGTGTTTCATCATTTGTTTAATTTTCTGTATGTATTTTCAACAATTAAACAGCTACCTTTCGTGAACTTGATGGAGTGACTTTGGAAGTGGTTGCTTGAGGCACCAGGCGTTCCCTGGCACACAGCGTAGCCAAAGTTAAGGCGTACATAGGCTAGGTTCCCCGACTGCACACCCCGGGGGCAGCCTGGTATGCTGGCGGGCCAGGTTTGGAGCAGCCAGCGGCATGTGGCTGCAGCCGTGCTATGGCAGCTCGGCTGTCTGAGCCCTGAGTGGGTGTAGGGTGAGCAGCCTAGGGCACACTCTGGTGGCCTTGCACATGGACTACAGCAGTCGAATGAAATTTCTGCCCATGTTCTCTGGAGAAAGAGAACATTAACAATGGCACTCACTGGCACTTCCCATGCCAAAGAGTTTCCACAGAGCCCAAGGAATTCTCACAGTTTCCCAACGTTCACTGTGCAGTCTCTCTCCTGTTGTGCAGAAGTTGCTCAATCCAACCTCAGCTGTTTCTCAGGGAGACTTGCTCTGCACGTAGGTGTATATTCAGTGTGTTCCCAGAGGAGTGTGAGTTCAGGGTCTTCCTTTGCTGACATTTTGGAATCCCAAAACACCTTTTGCCAAAGTAAATTTCTCCCAAAACAACTTTTTACAAGCTGGAGAAGCAGTGTAATCCATGAGTCTGGTATTACTGCCTGAAATTTCCAAAGAATAGCTAGCTCTAAGATTCCTATTTGTAATCAAGAATTGGACTTGTATAGCTACTCATTTAAGCGACCTTGTTTCTGGTGTCTGGAGGTATGACACCTTTGCTCTGAAATCATATTGTAAAATGATGTTCTAATAGAAAGTGCTACATGGAACGGGCTGTGAGGGGCCTTATCATCCCTTCACCGAGTCCCCCCCGGGATCCCCTGCCCGACGCTGGGCGAGGTGCAGCCAGGCTTTCTGCGGCAGAGACCTGGTCGCTCTCTTGAGTGGCTGAGATCAATATATATGAAGTGCCTTGTGATGTCATGTTTAACTGAAATTGTTTCAGAATTATTCTTTGTTCCCTGATCCTTATCAGTTTTTAAATTTTATTTCCTTCTGTACTAGAGAAATTTCTGATTGTTCAATGTACTTACTACACGTACCCCCTAAATATGTAAAGGGCCAAAAGTTCAGTGGATATCAGGCCCAAATTTCATACTCATTTATTCTGTCCCTCCAATCTTTTCTTTTAAATTGTAGTTTCTCTCTGGAAAATAATGACCTACCAAAAGTTTCCTCTTTCATTTTAATGAGTTTTTTCAAGCTTTTGTTTTAAATTTTAGTATATAATTGAGACATAATACTCTGTAAGTTTAACATGTATTTTGGGTTGATTTGATTCATTTATAAATCATAATATGATTACCACCTCAATAGTAGTGAATAGTTCTATTGGTCACCTCATTATTTTTTTTGTGTGTGGTGAGAATATTCAATATCTAGTCTCTAGATACTTTCAAGGATATAATAGAGTATTGTTGGCGATAATCACTACATCTTCGGGCCTTAGTAACCTTTGATTTGCAAGCTTGGGCCCTTTGATCAGCTTCTTCTCAACCTCCCCTTCCCTATTCTGCAGGCCATGGTCATCATCATTCAACTCTGTGTTCATATGAGTTTGCTTATTTATTATTTATTTATTAAAAAATACTTAAATGCTCTGTCTTAATTTTACATTTTCAAATTATGTTATTATTTATTTTTAGAGAGGGGAAGGGAGGGAGAAAGAGAGGAAAGAAACATCAGGGTGTGGTTGCCTCTTGAGTGCCCCATACTGGGGACCTGACCTGCAATCCCTGATTGTGCCTTGACTGGGAATCAAACCATCAACACTTTGGTTCACAGGCCTGTGCTCAATCCACTGAGCCACACCAGTCAGAGGGAGTTTGTCTTTTTGGATTCCACATATAAGTGGTATCATACATTATTTTTTCTTTTTCGTTGTGACTTATGTCACTTAGCATAATGCCTTCATGGTGCATCTGTGTTGTCCCAAAGGGTAGGATTTCCTTTTCTTTCTCATGCTGAATAATATTCCAGTCTGTGTGCGTGTGTATCTCACATGTTTTTACCCATTCATTTGTTGACAGACACTTAAGTTGTTTCCATTTATTGGCTATTGTGAATAATGGTGCAATAAACATGGGTTTATGGATATATTTTGGATATCCTGTTTTCCTTACTTTTGGATATACACCCTGAAGTGGGATTCCTGGGTCATACAGTAGCTGTGTTTTAATTTCTCAAAACCATCCATACTGTTTTTCCTAACGGGTGCCTTGATTTTGCGTTTCTGCCAACAGTACACAAGCTTCTGTTTGCTTATAGTAACTGAGTTTTCTTACAGAGGAATTTTGAATTTTATATTGGGTAAATCGTGTATCTCCATGTCTGCACTTGGTTGCTGGAAGATTATTTTCCAACTTGGTGATCTGATGTTTTCCTGGTTTTCCATCATCTTTAAAGTCTTGCATTGCTGTTTTTGGCATTTGAAGTAGCAGTCGCCTAGTTTAATCTTCACTGCTTTCAGGGTAGAAGTACCCTTTGTCACTACTGATACAGGTCGGGCTGCTTCAGACCTTGTATGGAAATGCCTGCTCCCTGCTGCTTGCTCCCTCTAGCGGGAGAATTCTTAAGCCTGTTTGTCTGTCCTTCAATATATTAAGCCCCATGCCTGAGGCTGATAGCCTCCCTATTTTCCTGAAGGTGGTGCTACAGCCCAAGTTGGTGGTTTCTCTCCTGCCAGCAACCCCTTGCCTGCAGCCTTCTCCCAAATCTTGCTCTTGCTGCTGCGCTTAGCAGCTTGTACATGGAGCTGCGTGTAGAGGGGAGGAGGGATGCATTTGGGATGCAGTTCACTTTTGGTGCCCACAGGCCAGGTGGGGGATCTGCAAGAGACGTTTCTTCCTAGTGTGTGGTCAGGCTTCCCGATGGAGGACTGAACGCAGTCAGGAGGAACTGGGCCTCTTTGGGAATGCCCTCTGGGAATCTTAGGCACCATTCTCCAGATTTGCTCCCTTTCAACGGTTACTCAGCTCCTAATTTAGTATCCCGGATCTCGTGAGAGAGAAATGAGCCCTTTGGAAGCATTCTGCACACCAGGGAAAGCTCCTCCTCTACTCTCTCATCCTATCTCCCCTTTTGGAGAGTCCATGGGCTTTCTTTTAGCTTTAAACTGCATTGCTCTGGAAGCGGAACGATGCTGCCAAAGTCATGCTTCCCTGTACCTCACACGCCTATATTTTGTGTTCCGATGGTGTGCTGCAACATCTCTGGAAGCCCGAACTTCCCCCAAAGCGCTCTAATCCATGGGTGACTGCCCAGATCAGCATTTGTAAGTGCACCTGGACTGCAACCACTAGGGGCTGGAAGCAATTCACAATATCCTGTGGGCATCTCAGCCAGCATTGGTGTCTTTCTGCCTATTATCTGATGTACAGGTGGGTGAGATTTTTCCCAGGCCCCTTGGCATGCAATGCTGGATCCCAACACCCACAGAGACATTTTCATTCGAGCATAGATAACAACTTTTTGTTGTTGAAGGGGGACAGAAAAAAAAAAGATGGAGATCTCTTATGCCCATTTATGCCTGATTGCTATTATCACTCCTAATGTATTATGATCCATTCCCATGGGATATTCTCTAGCATTAAAGTAGCATTATGTTCTTTCCTTATTGTAATACTTTTCACAGTTTTAATTTTTGTTACTTTCTTATATCTTTCCAAGTAGAGTATCTTGTGTGTGAGAGCAAAAATTGTGTCTGGTCTTCTCCATACACATCACTTATCCTTGCACTATGCTGCTGACTTTGAAATTGTTCTTTGAATCATGGCTGATACTTTCTGATGCATTGAATAAAGGAAACCTTAATTTACCTGACTCTATCCAACCTCTCCCACGTATAACTCTATTCTCTAATGATCATGAACATGAGGTTCGTGTAATAGTACAATAAGAGATGAGTTTCTAATTGTCAGGTTACTTTCCCTGTTCCTATATCACTCAGTGTGATCAGACGTTCTAAGTGAAGAACACAGAATCATTAGCACTAGAAAGGGGAAGTAAAGAAAGTACAAGAAACACGGATAGGTTTACCTTAGGCAAAGGTTTCGCAGGCTTGCAGTGGTGTCCTCCAATAAATACAAAATGTGGCAAGAATGGGCGAGGAAATTCAAAATCCCAATAGTTTCGAATGAGCCATATTTCAGCTTTCCCCATTAACTCAAATACTCTAGTGGGTCTTCCTGAAAGGAAAAAACAAAGAAAGAAAGAGTAGATAAAATCAGAATATTATAATGTGAATATATGACTTAGTGTTCTGAAAACAGCTTGGAATCATGTAGCCATATGATGTTTATATTGTCTGTGGTTTTGTAAACAAACATATTTACATAATGCACACATTTTATAATATGTTGTTTCTATCTATGAACTATGTACAGATGAAAGTGTGTAGTAGTTTTTCTTCTCTAACATCACAGCCATACAGAAAATGATTCAATCTAAGTAACTGTAGCATTAAACATATGTTCGTTTTCTTTGTAAAGCTGCAAATGAAATAGACCAAATGTAAGCAATGATTTCCACTCCTCAATTAATTAATTCTAACATAGCCATGTAAACAGTTTTCTAGATTATTTAGTGTGGTTTCTCGATTTTATCTGGCTATTCACTGGTACTATAACTGCATTGGGTTTATTTCAGGAGTTTAATAATACTCGTACACTAAAAATATTTGCGAATAACTGCTGAAATATTTTCATAAAGTGTAATAATAGATGTCTGCGCTCTTAAATTGGCTCATTTTCTCTTTAAAGAAGGGAGTTCTTCCACATAATATTTGGTTTTGCCAATAGGGTTTTTTGTTTTTGTTTTTTCCCTTCTTTAAGATGGCTCTAGTCGCACCTAGTTGTCTTTAACTTCATTTGGAACAATTCTGTTAGATTGTATTGTGACAGCTGTCATATCATCATGAATTAAAAACCTCTCAAAATTGGTGAATTCTTATGTAGTCATTTTAATATTGAGGATAGAATAAAAAAGCAATATTTTAGGCATATTATGCATTATTATTATTTTTTATTTTCTTATATTTTATTTTAAAATCATGTTTATTCTATTACAGTTGCCTCAATTATTTCCCACCATCGTGCCCTCCTCCACCCATCCTACCCCACCCCCTCTCCCACAGTCAGTTCCCACTCTGTTGACCATGCCTGTGGTTGATTGTGTTCATGAGTTTATTTGGTTGAATAGATTCCACTTACAAGTGAGATCATATGGTATTTGCCTTTCACCGACTGGCTTATTTCACTTAGCATTATATTTTCCAGTTTCATCCATGTTGTCACAAAAGATAGGAGGTCTTTCTTGCTTTTCTATCTTCTTTTTACATGCAGATTGATTTTTATTCATTTTTTATGTCCAAATCCATTATAAAATATTAAAGAATTTGAATCCAGTATAAAGTCTCAACAAATTGAAACAACATGACAAGAGCACAGAAAATATCAAGTAGACCAATGAAATAAAATGAGCATTCTAGGAACAAACGTATATATATCTGTCTAACAAAGTAATGTATGATTAAATTGATATGTAAAATCAATGGTGAAAATAAGGCATATGGAAGAAATAAGGTGCATGGACCACTATCACTTGAAATAGAACAAACATAGAGCCCTAATTCACACATTCTACAATCAATAGTCAGGTGAGAGAGGAAGATGGCGGAGGAGTGAATGGGAGTCACGCTGACCTCCTCCCAAAACCAAACTGGAATTGCAACTAAATAATGGAGTAATCACCTGGAAAGCAGTGGAGCAATAGTGGGAGAGGAGCCTTGGTGCCACGGACAGTGGATTCGACTCTCACACATCCCAACGGGTGAGAAGTGCGGTGGAGGCTCGAGAGGGTGGACTGGGTGCTCACGGGCACTGGCACCAGAGGGACATTGAAACGGCCAGTTAGCTTCCCCCAAGAAGAACGGGGTCTGAATCATAAACAGGGACCCCTAAACTACAGCAGCTAAAGCCAAGAAAATACAGACAAAACGCAACCCCAAAAAAGCTTAGGGGCGCTCTCTGCCAGAGACAGGTGCCTGGGGATGCAAAGAGACATTTAAAGGGCAAACACAAAAGTTGCAATGGCAGCCACCCTCCTTGATCTCTGGGTAGAGGCAGCAGCAGGGTGGGCTGGCGCCTGGGAAAAGACTGGTGAGGAAAACTTTGTGAAGAGAACTGACACGGCGGCCAGTGGAGCCCCGGTGATGGCATGCCTCCCACTCTGCAGCTACCATCTCGCTCAGGCATAAGGGAATCAATTAACCTGCCTTTTGTGCGCTCCGCACACAGCTTGTGCGCGTGTGAGCTGCGGGGCTGAGTGCAGACTGGCTGGGAGAGCCTTGAGGAGAGACTGGAGACAGAGGCATTGGGGAAAGAACGGGAGGAGGAACCGGGGAGTCCCGACTCTCTCCTCGTTCTGTAGTCTCCATTGTGGGCTGGAAAGGCGCGACCCCAAAGAGGCAGAAGCGGGGCGCGCAGGAACCAGACTGCCTGCGATTGAAATGCAGTCCGCACAGGGGGTGGACCTTGGCCTAACGGGTCACAGAACTGCCCAGAGACCCCTGAGGAGAGACTAGAAACTGAGGCGTTGGGGAAAGAACGGGAGGAGGAACCGGGGAGTCCTGACTCCTTCTCCTTGCCATAGTCTCCATTGTGAGGGAAGAGGCCACACCCCCAAAGAGCCAAAAGCTGAAAAGCACACATAGACTCCCCCAAAACACCCAGTGCAGGTGCGCACGCTTGTGCCGAGGGACCGGCGAGGGTTGGCGAGCGTGTGTGTGACCCCCGCGGGCTGGTGAATGCTTGCACTGGCCGGCAAGGCCTCCCACAGATTGGCACCAATATGGCCTGCGAGGGAGTGCGCAGAGCGGCAAGGGCAGATATAAATTGACCCGCCCGCCTGCGATTGCGGAGTGTCCCACAAAATTAGTAGAGCTCCCCAGAGTCCCTGGAGGAGAGACCAGAGACAGGATTAACTGAAGAGTCTTGGAGCTGACTTCCTCCCATTTCCGTAGTCCCCATTTGGTGAGGGCAAGCAACGCACCCAAAGAGCCAAAAGCAGGGAAAATACACAATAGAAGACCCTAAACTGACCAGTGCCGCGGAGCTCGCGTGCCAGGGGGGCCAGATGAGTACGCGAGGTCACGAATAAGCCCCCTGGTCTGGGGCAAGCACATGTGAGCCCAGGCAGGCGGGGGGATCCTGCTGTGCTGGAAGCGCACTCAAGGAGCCGGCGTGAGAGTGCAGAGAGATCCCAAAAAATAGCCCAGCCCTGACCGAAGGGGTCACAGAGCTGCTCCAAGCAGGAGTCAGACACAGGCATTAGACTCCTGGAAGGCTCAAACAAACAACCCAAGGCCCTATAGGGTCAACAACTGACATCATGAGAGGCAGGTCCAGAAAGAAAAGTAAAGGACAAAAATACTTAACAGACTCTCACAAAAATGGGAAGAAAAAGAAGTTCCCCCCAAATGAGTGGAAAAGGGGGCTCCCCACAGAGAGAGCTCAATGAAATAGAGGCAAGGGAACTATCAGATACTGAATTCAAAACAATGGTTCTAAGGAAGCTCAATGAGCTCAGCCAGCTCAAAGAGAACTATGAGAAACTGCAGAGAAACTATCAGGATCTTACAGCAAACTATATCAGCCTGGAAAAGGACATAGAAACTATCAAGAAGACACAAGAGGATATGAAGAATACCACTTCTGAATTGAAGAGGACAGTAGAAGGAATCCAAAGCAGGCTGGATGAAGCTGAGGATCGAATCAGTGAGATGGAGGACAAGGTAGAAAGAAGCTCCCAGAAAGAACAAGAAATGGAAAAATGGCTCAAAAAGAATGAAGAGGCATTTAGGGAAATGCAGGACAGTCTGAAACACAATAATATCCGTATAATAGGGATTCCAGAAGGAAAAGAAGAGGAGCAAGGGATAGAGAACCTCCTTGAAAAAGTAATGATGGAAAATTTCCCTAATTTGAGGAGAGAAAGGCTCTCATGGATCCAGGAGGCACAGAGGACCCCACTCAAGAGGGACTCAAAGAGGTCCACTCCAAGACACATCATCATTACAATGGCAAATGTCAAAGACAAAGAGAGAATCCTCAAGGCGACAAGGGAGAAGGAGAAAGTAACATACAAGGGGGCCCCAATACGCCTAGGAGCTGACTTCTCAACAGAAACACTACAAGCCAGAAGGGGATGGCAACAAATATTCTAAGCCATGAAAAGCAAGGGCCTACAGCCAAGGCTGCTCTACCCAGCTAGGCTCTCCATTAAAATACAAGGGGAAATACGGAGTTTCCCAGACAAGACAAGACTAAAAGAATACATCTCTACCAAACCAGCACTCCAAGATATGCTAAGGGGACTGGTTTAAGCAGATGAAGGAAAAGAATGAGACAGAGAGGAACACAGGTACAAAGAGAAAAGATGAGTAAGTTTCTATCAGTAATAACTCTCAATGTGAATGGACTAAATGCCCCAATCAAAAGACACAGGGTAGCTGAATGGATAAGAAAACATGACCCACACATATGTTGCCTACAAGAGACCCACCTCAGAGCAAGAGACCTACACAGATTGAAAGTAAAGGGATGGAAAAAAATATTCCAAGCAAATGGGCAAGAGAAAAAGGCCGGGGTTGCCATACTTGTATCAGACAAAGTAGATTTCAAAACAAAGGCCATAAAGAGAGACCCAGAGGGGCACTTTATAATACTTAAAGGAAGAATCTATCAAGAAGACATCAACATTGTAAACTTATATGCTCCCAATATAGGAGCCCCCAAGTTTATAAGGGAATTTTTGGATGACTTCAAAAAAGATATAGACAGCAACACACTGATAGTAGGGGATTTCAACACCCCACTGTCAGAAATGGACAGATCTTCCAAACAAAACATTAATAAACATATTGTGGTGCTGAATGACACACTGAATCAAAGAGACTTAACTGACATATATAGAACCTTACATCCCGAAGAAGAAAAATACACATTCTTTTCAAATGCTCATGGCAGTTTTTCAAAGATAGACCACGTGATAGGACACAAAGCAAGCCTCAGCAAATTCAGGAAAATTGAAATAATACCAAAGTTTTTCTCAGACCACAAGGCCTTGAAACTCGAAATCAACCTCAAAGAGAAACTTCAAAAACTTGCAAACTCATGGAAACTGAACA